CCATTGGCGCTGAATTGTCATGGCTTGACTCCCCAGTAGACGAAGATATCCTAAGAATCATTTTGCTCTTTCAGATAGTTCGGCGAACACCCTACATGAAGCACACGTTACAGCCTGTCTGGAACTACGTGTGCTCAACGATGGTGTTGAAGACACCAAGTCAAATATTGCAAGTGGAAGTGTAGGACGGTTGAGCAAGGTTCGATCCCTGCATACTGCAAATTAGGTTCGATCGGGATGTAGCATCGTCTGATGACGTGATCGGTAGAGGAATCCTCGACTTGTCCACTCTCCGTCACGACCAGCCTGTCGATGGTTGGGTGCCTCTTTCATACCATGGTATCAATGACATGCCTTTCAATACGAAGTGTTCCTCTCCTTGTATCTCAGGCAAACCGGCGGGTGCTGTTCGATTAGAGGTTGAATTCAGCTTTACTGTGATCTCGGAGGTGGCCGCGTATATGAAACGTTATATGCTGGCTGAGGCTCAGCCTAAAGACAGACCAAAGTTCGATGTTAATGCTCTTTATGGCCCTGGCATGTAGTAATGGATGAAGCACTGGACTCACCTCATCGCCGCTTATCTATGGGCTTGATTCTTGCTGAATATCTGAGTTGAATTTCGGTTCATGCCTAGCGAAGATTTTAGTAGGATCGATGAATGATAACCTATCTGTCAGGTACATCCTGGAGACACTATGGACAGATACCTTGAAGGGTCTACTCATGGGTTTCTTCTACCCGATATTCGAGTGGAATAGTTGGTGGCAGTCTGTTTTAGTATGGGTGCTGTATCTTTATGCTTGGTAATATACATCGGGACGGTTTCTCGATGCTACTACGTTAAAATGACCGCTGAAGCTATACTGCATCGCGAAATTACCGTCTCGCGGCCCAGTTGATCATACAGTATCTTTGTACTCGTTCCCTGCCGTCTGGGGGAAGCGTCTGTGGGGAATTAATCGGTCTTCGGACGCAGTCTCGGGTTTTCTCAGTTGCTTCGTGGAGTATTGGCCAGCGGCACTATGCTGGGGAGTTGCAGCTTTGATGGGACGTAATAAGATGATGTCTGCTTACAAGAAGGCTTTCGATCAAGAGTCCTCCATCAGTAGACATGGCAGTATGGCCTTTGTCGCTTTGGATGGTAATAGCTCATGCTCTTCTCACGGTTGGTTTGAACTGGGTGAACTGTCAGTGTACGTAAAAATTCCTTCAATTCCGCGTACTCGAGGTGGTTTCTTATGATCATCTGAGACCGTTCAGGTTTTACTTGTTTGTTTCAGACGATGATGACGATGATGAAGAGAAGTCGATCCACGCCTTAGTGCGTAGTTTCACCCAGTTGTCTCCTACTTGGGCTAAGGAACAGCAGCCCGGTTCCCAGCGGCTCTCAGGATTCTCGCCGATTCCTTAGACTTCGCGCAAGATTTACTCATGTGGAGGTGAAGTTGAAGCATGATTGACAGGGTACGGAGTGTATCTTTTAGGGACCCTTTGTCGAAGCCAGTGTTCTACATATTGGTGGTATCCGGCTTGGTGCTTTGCCGTTTGTCATTTGGTATGGTGATGGGTATACTAGGAAGTGCCGTGATGATGATACACTCTCCCTTAAGGGGCCTCCTTAGTGGCATTTCGGCATCAGTCCACAGGTAACTTAACAATATCGTGAGTTCTTTCCATTTCCGATCCGAAGCCCTCTTGCGAGTTATTGGATGCTCCTGGGTATTTCAGGTTTTTACGCGGAACCAAAGCTTGGATGAACAGAGAGAACAGTCTCTTACCTCATTGTGACATATCACATTGTAGCGACGACTACCGGCAGTTGGTCATACGCCGCCTAGCGAAAGACGCACGACGCACTCAAGCGAGTTCAGCGTCGAATCAGCCGTCTCCACATAAACCGGCAGCCGGGTGAACTTCGGCAGCGTCACGTATCGCGAAAAGTGACGTGATAGCTTCTTACAGTCCCGGCAACTTGTTAACTCTCCGAACGATATTTTTGTAAGCATACGATGTACGACCCTCATGTGCCGTTGGTCCATTTTTCTGGTTTTTACTCTTCAGCGGCTGAACTTCAGCTGATTCTTAAATTACTTGGGTTGGCGAAATGCACCATTAGTTAGCATTGTTCTTATTGGTTCGATTGACAATTATCGTTATTGTCGTTATACCACCGCACTGTGTTCAGTTCCTCGTAAACTGGCGAGTGCCACTCACCGAGTGGTACAGACCTTGATAGTATATCACCATCATTGCGAGATCTGGATATTGGAAGATTCGTTGAACGAGGGTTGTCGACGTTGAAGCACATGAAGGACTTGCGGGGTGGAGGCGCTCGAACTACATCGACGTGACAGGCTTGGAGCAGTCAAAGCGAGCCGATCCAGCTGTCCGATTTATATCAGAGGATTGTTCTCTCTAATACAGCTTGTTATGTGTCATACAACCGACACTCATTTTAAGGTGTCCGACCGACTGCTGTACTTGAAGGGTTCAGGCCAATCTAACATCCCTTCAAGGGGATATCGCCCTTCTCGTCGTCGATGACTACATGCAAAGCTTCCCCTCATTATTCTCCGTGTACTCTCTGCGGCGAGACTCTCTCCTAGATTTGCTCTTTAAGCTCGACGATTTCGGCCAACTGCGCTCACGCGGTCGTCTGCTCCACGTTAGTTTTGCCTGCCATTCTGGTTTTCTGGTTTACAAGAACAGACTAACTCTAGCAGCTCGTTATTGACAAAGGTCAAGGGCTACACAAGACGAGTCTCAATATTCGAGTCCATTTAAAACACAGCACATAGTAGTAACATGCTTGATACTATTTCAGAGTAATGTAGTAGTATGCGAAAAGGCGAGCTCAATCTCATAGTGTACCAGCAGCGACGCTGTCGTCGCCAGAAGGCGGTATCCACGCCGGAGGATAGTAAGGCCTGAATTCGGATCAACAATCCAACGCTTTCCGCATTTGTTTCCAACCGGGCGACTTTATCCAACTCGTCATTGCTGACCCCTTGAGTCTGCCGTATCTTTTCTATGAGCCCCTGAGTCTTAGCAAGGCCGCTCTGGATAGCTCGGAGCACCTGAAATATATAATGGAGCCAGAGAATCAATGATGTTCCTCACAGGAGGCCGCATTCTCTCATGATTTAGACACAAGTGGGAGACTCCAGTATGAGAGAAGCCTCGACTCAAGGGACGCCTGATAACATGATTAGATCGCCGACAGCGTTGACATCAACACGGCCAAAAGACAGACGAAGCGAACCAGTCGATCGTTAAGCTTCTGATAAGAAGTTGATATCCACTGGCCTAATAATCACCAGCGAGGAGGATCGCGAATAACGAGAATGACTCATCCCGGTCAGCATCGCATTAAAATAGTTATCGATGTGGATACTCTTTGTAAATACTCAAATCAATACTGACCAAGTTTGAAGCTCTGAGCCCGCGGCTGTCGTAGCGATGCCTCCAAAGTCAACGTGAGTGATATTGTGGAACTTTGCCAGAATGTCAACGAAGGACTCCATGTGGTCTTGGTTGAATACTCTGACGAAACGGCAGTCCCCAGCAGGGAACTTCACGAATCTACCATAGAAAATCGCTCAAACATCTTCAACGTGACCGCCTACCTGAGGCTACTAATGTCGCTCTTCCTCAATAACTCGAGAAGATCTGTCACTGCTACTTCCTCCTCGAAACACTGTGAGGAAGGAACTCAGAAGGAGCAATAACAACTCCCAACTCACCGAGTCTGGTATCGCTAAGACCTCCTTGTGGCTCTTCGGTGGAGCATCTTGTGCTAACAGTAGTACGCTGGCTGAGTGCTGTATAATGGGAGTGAGCAGTGATAAGAACAAGGCTTGCGTTCCGGCCTCCACAGATCTCTGAAAAGTAGCTCAATGAGTAACTCAAGCTGCCGCAGTCCTACCCGATTCCGTCTACGCGGTTGTTTGTCCTTCTCTATCTCATTAGTCGTCTCTTTCGGGGCCTGAGGCTGCATGCGAAGACAGTTGATGAAAGGATCGGCCCTCACCGGGATCTCGCTCTTCACTGTCTCATTCGCCTCCCCAATCCCAGCAATCTCAGCCGCATCTCGAGCCTGAAAGCAACACTTGAAACCGCGGTAGAAACTTGAACTCTATTTCACCTCGACATTTTCAGCATGACTGACCACCTTCGGCCTACTCCGTGGCGTCGTCTTCCTCTTCTTGTTGGCAACAGATGACGCAGATAGGATGGGAGTCTCCACCTGGACAGAAACCTCCCCCTACGCTCTTTCAATTTTGCAGTTCATCACATCGAGTTGAGCCTCTCTCGACTTCGATCTATTCCGTTTCTGCCCAGCCGCTCTAACTGAAGGCCTAGCCGCTTCAGCCGTACGTGATGGTGCTGTTGACGGAGAGAGAGCAAGAGGCCAGTCGTCATCCGCAGTGCACTGTGAACCTACCACCCTTTCAAAAACGTCTATCGTGGATGAAAATGGAGTCTCACCTTCGAGCATAGAACAAGAGAAGTCACTCAAGTGAGCAACCCACTGCGCAGTTGCGTTGTTGACGAACCTGCGAGTTCTCTGAGCGACACTGACTTCCCACACTCCCATGTTACCTCCGTCGATGGCAGTGATCGCACTGCACCAGTGCTATGTCGTCTAACCCCAGAGACCCTTTATCGATATTATTGGGGACATTCTCAACTTGAGAAAGCTCAGCAGGAGCCGATACCTGGTGGGAAATGCAGAGGGCTGCAGCCTTCAGAGCCAGATGACCAATCATCGAAGCTCACTTCTCCAGTATCTCCGACCGTTGTGGTCTGATCTCTACTAGCATCAACATCGACCTGGCATTTGATCCGAGAGGCATCGATTTGTTCCTCAGCTGTGAGACGACTCTGGGAGCAAGAGGGTCGCCACGTATAGGGGGAGTGGAGGCCT